TCTCTCTGTCTGTCTCTCTCTATTCTCTACTATCTCTCTCTATCTGTCTCATCTCTCTCTCTATATCCATCTAATCTCTCTCTCTCTCTCGCTTCCTCTCCTCTGTCTCTCTCTCTTCTGCTCTACCTGTCTCTCTCCCTGTCTCTCTCTCTCTCTCTCTACTCTATCCTCTCTCTCTCTCTCTCTATGCTCTCTCTATCTGTCTCTCTCTAGTCTCTCTTCTTTCTCTCTCATGTTCTCTCCTCATGTCTCTCTCTGTCCTCTCTGTCTCTTCTGGTCTCTCTCTGTCTCTTCTGTCTCTCTCATGTCTCGCTCTGTCTCTCTCTGTCTCTCCTCTGTCTTCTCTCTGTCTCTCTACTGTTTGTCTCTCTGTCCTCTCGTGTCTCTCTCTGTCTCTACTCTGTATCCTCTCTCGTCTCGGTCTGTCTCTCCTGTCTCTCTGTCTCTTGTATCGCTGTCCTCTGTCTCTCTGTCTCTCTGTCTCTCTGTCTCTCTGTCTCTCTGTCTCTCTGTTCTCTCTGTCTCTCTCTGTCTCTCATCATGTCTCTTCCCTGTCTTCCCTGTCTTCCTGTATTCCCTGTCTTCCCTGTCTTCTCCTGTCGATCCCTAGTCTTTACCTGTCTTCCTGTCTTCCCTGATCTTCCCTGTCTTCCCTGTCTTCCCTGTCTTCTCCTGTATTCCCTATCTCTCCTCTCACCGTAAAAAACATGAAATCAATTATTATCATATCTACCATAAAATTATTAACCTATTTGCCCCATATTTATGTTCTGTCCCCTGTAGTTTTGGTGAATTTTGTTACATACAGATGGTTCCACATGTGCTCAGCTGGCAAGGAGTCTATCAGTAGACCGTAGTTACTAATCTTGATTTCCCAATTCCTTGAATTGGTGGGAAAATATGTTTTTCTTTTTAATACCATTGCTATTGATACTGTTATTATTGTTATTCATGTTATGATTATTAAATCGTCATTAAAGTATTTTAGACAATTAATTGATACAAAAAACACTTTCCTAAAGTGAAAGAAAAGGATAAACAGGTGAGATAGGTAGTTCTAATACCTGGCTATTTGGTGATTAAGAACTTGTAGAGCTATCTATGTGTAAATACAATAAATAAACTTATATTACAGTGGGCATGGAATGTATTCTTGCCAAATGGGGCGAATGGGTTAATGTACAATAATAAAATCACTGATAGAGAACTCATTCATTTCCGTTTACCATAAAATATTCACATTTAGCAAATAATAGGAAATAATTGCATTATAAATTACAATTTATGAAAGTGTAACCTTTAAAATGAACTTACTAGACTCTCATATTCTCCTGAGATATTGCCACCAAATAACTCGAATTTGCCGCCCTTTACAACATCCAACTTTACATCACCTCTTGTGAACGCAACCACCATCTGGAAGTCAGAATAGAGCATCAAACTATCACTGTCAGTAAATCACATTCACATGGAGTATATCAAATTTTAAACATACTCTCAATATGTGTATATAAATATTAATCATAGTTCTGCTTTGCTCACCTCCCTCACAGTAAGCGCTCTGTAGATGTCATCAGCAGTGCACTTGAAACGTTCAGTCAGTGTAATTTGGGATGTGTCTATTTTACAGCCCAGTCCCATTTTCTGCATATTATTTGTAGTATTTGTAACCTGTTGGGATATATTCTACATAGAGGTACAATTTTCTTACTGTAGTAATTCATACAAGCAAAATTTCCAACAGACACATCAGGGTCTCATGCTGAGCACAATGTTACCACAATCTCCATACTTACATTAGCTGATAGCGAGTTCTCAGAAGGAGGTGGAGATAGGATTGTTTTACTTTGCTTTGTCACAGCCTGTCCCTTCGTTGGCAGGATTAAATCAGTGGCATACTCTGCAAATTAAAAAACAGGATTCAAAATCTTGTCAAAATTACAGACATTCTGATCACATCACGACAAAGCAAGCTTAATCCAATGCTGACAGGCATGATGTGTATGTGTATGCCATGCCCACTGTGAGTTTACTTGTTTAATTGTTTTACACATAGATGGCTACACTTGTACTAAGTCACCAGTGAGCCAGATTTGAGTACTGCCTGTCTCGTTTGTTTAACCTTTTCTTTGATTTATGTAAATATTTTAACTTATCTTATTTTGCTATTACTAATATTTATAACATTCTAGTAATTATAATGTTATAATAAAAATAACACCATCAAGATTCATAGCACTAGTAAATAATACATTTTTCACACCAATTCAAATCAGGTGTGCAGAGACATTTCACAAGAAATATAAAAAATGAACTCAGCTTTTCTCCCATTTTTTATTCATTTTCCCCGGCAGCATTGGGTTAATGATTTATGACAAACACCAATGCTAAGCAGGGTCAAGTTAGCTCTCAATTTGTTATGCTGTGCTGTTGTTTACTTGTTTGGCTTTGACTGCCATCAAAGCAGAAAGATCCCCTCAAAAATAGGTTTACGGTCTCTCTTTATCCTCATTTCATAAAGAATTGTATATGCCACAAGTAATAGGATAGAGAGCAGGGTAAATGTATGTTTCCTGTGCTTTTAATTATTCGCTCAAGTAGCTGAATCCCTACAGATGGCTTCATATAGCATGGGGCATTTCCGTTGTGAATGGGTTAACCTAACCAAGAGATTCCTCCAAGCCAAAGATAAAATTACAGCAATACCATATAGACAATCATATTTCTGATATTACCCATAATATCAGAAAAAAAAACAAATTTAATAATGAAACAAGCCAGCGAGGAAATACAATAGCTACCAAAATAAACACACTCACCTCTCTTCAGAGCAGTGATATAATCTGCAACTTTTGATTGTATCACTTTCTCACACTTCTTTCTCAGGAACTCCTTCACATCATCTCCTGCCGAACCTCCAGCTGTCACACTTACGGACACCTAATGGAGAGAGAAAAAAATACATGTGACATTCAAATTGCAATAAGCCTAGTCTTCATTGAGATATCTGGTAATGATTTTGTGAATAAAAAGGAAAGAAAATATAACTTGCAGGGTAACTGCAAACAAGAACACAAAGCCCATAGAAGTTATTATATGAAAATGGCATTCTACCTGTATGAATAAACTATTTCTGATGAGCTAAAAGAGGAGAAGGGCCTCTGAGAGAGAGAATAAAAGATTATGTCTAAATGCAAATGCAATCATTAATAACATTCTATTTTTCTTTCATAGACCCTAGAAGGAGAGAGCTACAACTACAACTCTGGTCACCTCTCAACTAAATGAAAAAAAAGTGTGTATATGTATACATATATATATATATATATATATATATATATATATATATATATATATATATATATATATATATATATATATATATATATATATATGAAAAATATAAACAAAAACTATTAGCTCTTGCATCATTTTTGTATTATTAAATTTTCTGTAACACACCCTGCTGTGCTGGTCACAGTAGGCAGAAATAAGATCTTGAGCATGAAAATAGTGTCCTCCCTTAAGCCGGCACTCATACTGCCATGGCTCATGGATGGTACATTCCACCTTCATTTACCAGAGGAAATAATGCAAGACCCCTTCCTAAATGCCCACTGAGTTTAATCGTCCTCCAAGTGATTAATTTTTTTCATGAGATATTCCCATCAGTCACATTACATCCCATGGGTTAAAGAAATCCTAAATGAAAAATTTAACAAAAACAATAATAATAATAATAATAATAATAATAATAATAATAATAATAATAATAATAATAATAATAATAATATTAACTACACAAATGAACAGTTAATAAAAAAAAAAACTTACATCAATCTCGCATGGCTCATTCTCCTCAGAGAGATTGGGTATCTGGATGTGGCCCTTGATGTCCTTCTTGGGCTCATCCTCCTTCTTGGCCACCCAGTCCATCTTGATGTCCCACTCATAGAAGAAGATGAGCTTCCCTTTGCGGTTGTTGACCATGGCTTCCCCATCACACTTGGACACTTCCTTGATGGTTACTTTGGCTGAGGGAGGAAGAGAGTGAGGTCAGTGCCAAAGACTGAAGTAAGACTGGATTGAAGAACCAGTTACTAAAGAAGAAATAGGAATGGAGCCTGATACAAGTACTAACAAGGCTTCCTTCCAATACTTAAAAATCATAAACTCTGAACAAAATGTTACTGATTATTCAAAGTGCAATAAATATCCCAGTTCTTATTTGAACAAGGATTATATCTTATTGTCAAATAATTATTTCTATATTACAATAGCATGTGTAAGACTTCCACAATATTAACCCAATGGCGCCGGGTGTACAAAACAAAAACAAAAAACTCTACGCTTAAGTAAACAAAGGCGGCGCGCCAACTTTGAGCGCATGAGTAGGGGACATCAGCCCGAATCACTGGCTCGCCGCACTTTGGCGCGCCACCGACTCGTTTGGCTGCACGCCAGCTTTCGAGCGCTTTGTTTACACTCCGATCAGCGTCACCCAGCACCAAGGGGTTAAAACATATAAAGAATCTGAATACACTCCTCAGCAAATATACAAAAATAACAAAAACAAACAACACTAATCCAAATAATCACAGGACTTGTCTATGTCCACCCTCCCGCAGGGAAGAGCATGCTTCCTTATCTTTCATAAGGAGATAAAGCTCAGTAATCTTAAACAACCTTATATGGTGTAGAGGAACAGAGTGTAGGATACTTACCAAGTCCTGGTTCCTCCAACACCATGCCCTCAAACAGGCTCTTAATCTTCTCTTTGCTCCAACCACTGGCATTTTTTTCAGACCTGTTGGGAGAATGGATGTGCCTTGATTCTCTATTTCTACAAACAATATATAAATTACTTTAACCATATAATAAGATTTAACTTACGGTTCTGAGAAATCCTTTTCAATAAATACTGATGGTGATTCTTTACATAATAACCACATGTATAACAATAAAAATAAAAAGAATAAAGAGAGAAAGCATGATTTTTCTTTCCTTTTTCTTTATTAACCATAAAATTGCCATCATCCACATATAATGATTGATTCTGGAACTAATGATCTTAGAGTAAATAACAAGACTATTTCAACAGTGTGTATATGTATATATGTGCGTGCATGCACACACGCACGCACACACAGCTTGTATGTTTTGTTGAGAGAGACCAAATTCTTTGGCCAGAGGCTTAATGGTTGTTGCCACTGCAGGAAGTGCAAAGAGCATTGTGATCATTTAACCTATTGCCGACGGGGAAAATGAATTAAAAAATGGGGAAAAATGCTGTGCTCATCTTTTATATTTTTTGTGAAATGTCTCTACATAGATGGCTCTGCCTTACCTGACTTCACCTTTCCTTGAATTAGCGGGAAAATGTACTCTTTCTTAGTGCTATGAATATCGGTGGTCTAATTTTTAATATAAATATTATAATTAATATCATGTAATAAACATTAGTAGCAGCAGAATAAGATAACGTAAAATATTTTCGTAAATTAAAGAAAAGGGTATACGGGAGAGACAGGCAGTACTCGTAACTGGCTCATTGGTGATTTAGTACAAGTGTAGCCATCTAAGTGTAAAAACAATCAAACAAGTACCCTCGCAGTGGGCATGACATGTATGTATATACCATGCCCATTGGGAAAGGGTTAATACTGAACCACTATTGTGTTGATCTTTAGGTTGCATAGTACAGACCATAGTACATTTCACATGGATTATATGAGTATCACCACACATTGATTGAAAATTTTAAGACAGAATACACTAAACTTCGAAATGCCATTCTACCCATTTTATTAATTTTCATACATCATGCAACTGTGCCAGACTTCAATAAATAAGAAAATCCAACAATAAAGCAAATACTATACCTGGTAATAGGAAAAAATCTAATCATGTGGTGGATTAGTTATTCTGGGCTGGGGCTTGGGGGCAGAAGGATGGTTGCAGGGGGGGCAGAAGGATGGTTGCAGGGGGGGCAGAAGGATGGTTGCAGGGGGGGCAGTCTCCTACATTTGACCATTTAGTGACCAGTTCTCTCTCTATTATTCATATTTTACCCCACAATTTCCATGGTGCCATTCATACACTTCCTTGCTAAGATTTAGGTAGTAGAGATTGTGAGGTATCCATGAATACCAATGTCATGACCAACAATGTGAAGGTATTCTTGGTAAATGTTCAGAATAGCTTTGCATGACTGATGATGACAATACTGGTATTAGTAGATTCCCCTCACTCAAATATTTACAAATAATGCCATGGAAATTACCAATACTCAATACCCACAATATGCCCAAGAGGGTGGCATGAATGGCACCAGGTAAATTATGAGGTAAAATATGAACAATACACAGAGAATTGGTCAATATATAGTCAAATGCAGTAGCCTGCAGCCCCCTAGCCCCCACGTTGGTCACAAAGAATCCGCCACATAGGTACAGCAGAAAAAGTATCTGACAGACTCAGTATTAGGCACTCCAACATTTTGGTCTTACATTCTCCCCTGCAGTGGAGGATTCTTTGCCTTCCACTGTGTGGGTTAAGGGGTGGCAGCCCCCAGAAGGGTGGCTACAGGGAGCACAGTCTCCTGCATAAAACATTATACTGATTTACCCTGTATGTATTATTCAGAGTTTACCCCCTAATTCCTAATTCCCTGCCATCGGGGCCAAGAATGTGAGGTTTTGAGGGGGTTCTGTGGCAACCGTCCTACGTATATGAACAGTAAAGGGTGTAAAGGGTGAGAGGAATCCAATGATACCAATATTATCTTTATCTTCAGTCATGCGAATGTATTCCGAATATTTATCTATAAAGAATAAGCAAAAAATAAACAGAATTGACCTGAGAACATGATACCGAAATGGTTGCTTGTTAACACCGTAACTGTAAGATTGCTTCAAATCGTTAAATTAAACTGTATCTTAGATTCCCATTGATATATAATAATCAAAACACACCCCAGTTTACAAATCCACGTCTGAAACCATGAAGAAGAACGTAAATCAAGCTCCTCGCCACAAACATAACACATACCTCAACACCAGCCTACTTCCTCGCCTTCCCCAAAGTTCTTCAACACACCATAAATCTTACATTTACTCAAGAAATACACTCACCAGTGCCAGTTATTAACATTGGTGGCATCCGGTCGCTCCTCCACAATCCACCGAGGATCGCCTTCGCCCCACTTAGCCATTTTGAACGAAAGAATTCGGCGAAAATCCGCAGCCGAATCAGCAGCAGCTCGCTTGACGGGTTGCGGTGTTTACCTCGCGCTCGGCCAAGGGACCCCAGCGATAAACCTTCTAGAATAAAATGCGATAAAACCTTCTTCTTCTGAAAAAATATAAAGTTCGGTTCTATTAAGTATTGTATGGTAACTCTTAAACCATATAGCATCTCTAGAACCCTTAGGACATAAAAATCATCTTTCTCTAAAGTTCCTTAAAATATTATACAATGAAATCCTACTACGATTGCAAT